GTGCATCCTTGCTGGGAGTCCCACTCGATAGATATTGGCACCGACGTAACCAATCCACTTCCTCACAAGTACCAACCAGTGTGCCTTTTTCTATAATCTGTTCCTGGTCACAAAGGTTCAGCACACGTACTCCTGCGATGTCAGTGATTCTGACCAAGGTTCGAGCTACTTTCCTTGGAAGGTCATTGTATACCCTTACAACAAGTACACAACGGTGCCCAGCGTTTCGAGGAAGACTAACCGGCACAATCGTTTCGGATTTTGACGGAAGAACAATCTTCTTAATGCTGTACACGTTCCCTGGTAACGCACCTTCCATAAAAAGTTCCTCCTGCCCACATTTCAAAATACCTTGCTTAACGTCGATCTCACAACAATTATTCCTCATAAAGTCTAGGCCCAGGATGCAGTCGTCCATTATATCAGCCACGATGACATTATGCAGGTAGATCATGTTGCCTAGCTTTAACTTCATCTCTTTCTCTCCACGGACGCGGAGCGTATACCCGCTGACCGGTGGCTGTTACCAAATGAATGCGTTCTCGGTTGTATGCGGAGTCCCAAAGGAACTGACTTATAAGTTGGGAACTAACAACCATACGAGAGGCTCCAGGATCTATGGTCGGTTTACACGACATTCCGTTGACCTCGCCCTTGATGATCAGACTGTTCCCATCATAGGTTTGTTAGATCGAGATCCTTGGGGCTCTTTTAACATCAGCCAGTACCCGCCCCGCAGTTCTGGCTTTTTACTCGTTTACCTGCTGCTGCTGGGCGGTGCTGTTTGCCACAATACCCACCTCAGATCGTTCACCTTCCCTTTCTAGGGTTCGTTTAGGGCAGCTGGATGGTAAGTGGCCCCTTTCCCCACAGCCTTAGCACCTAGGGCTGTATCCTTTATTGCGGTCGCAAACCGTAGCTGCCGCAACCTCCCTGACGCTATGGGAACGCTGATCCTGCCGCACGGCTTCCACCTCCAGTGCATGGGCCAAGGCGTCCTTAAGCGTCTTGTGGTGCCCGAGCCTCACAGCAGCTCTGACTTCAAGGTCGCGGATGCCATCGATGAATATCTGCACCAGGTTCCCTTCAATGAGCGCAGGTACAGACTGGTATGCCTTTCGAACCATCTTCTCCACCTCAAGGGCCCACTGCTGCAGGTTTTCGTTGCTGCGTTGCACGCGATCTTTAAGCTGCGCGCGAAAGACGTGTTCCAGGTGAGCGTCGCCATATCTCGCCTCCAACGCCTCAAGTAGCTGCTCGTAGGTCACTTTCTTACCGAGAGCCTCCAACACAGCTTGGTCGCGCAAGCCTAGGATGAGTGCAGTCATGGCTTGGCTTTTATTCCAGGCGTTCGCCTCCATGTCGGCCTCAAACTGGATTTTGTAGGCCGAACAGGAAGAAGTCCCGCCGAACGGCGGCACTTTGAATCCACTTAGCGAAGGTGTTGTAGCTACTACGGGAGCTGTTGTTCCATCCACAAGTTTGAGGTCGTCCAGCGTTTTCTTCACGTCAGCCATCACGTTGTCAACCCGATTGTTCACTTGGTCGATTCGGGTTTCAGATTTCTCAATTCGGGTTTTAGCTTCTGATAGGCGGTTGTCATGTTCAGCAACCCTATCCTTCATCTCCTTCATCTCCTTCCCGAAAGTAGCGCAAAGGTCCTTCACCAATTGTTACGAGCTTCAGGTTCGTGAAAATATAAACTGCCGATTGAATTACCAAAACTTACACTTTTATTACCGAAAACCAATTACAACTAAAAAACACTAATAATTAATCACACTGATTCACTTTATTTCGCTTCGAAGCTTCGCTTGTCTCGCCAAAATTCAATACTTTCTCGATCGCATCTTGCAGCGCCTTTAAATACACATTATCCAGAATATTGAAGTAAATACGCGCGCCAATCGACCAGGCGCCAAAAGTTCGAGTGTAGGGCTTCTAGAAAGCTTAGTTCTTCAATTCGATACTAGATGGCACTGTCGGTTGAAAGATTAGTCATGTCATTTTTTGAAAAGCTCTCCTCGCTCTGTTACCCGACACTAGATGGCGCTAGTGCCAGACGTCAACTTAGGCGCGCAACAATATGAAAGTATGAATATTCATATAAAGTATAATTCAATGTCACATATTCTCTCTCGTGGCGCCGCAAGACAGATATATAATGTACAGACTCTAGTTCTGTCTCCTACATAGATTTGATATTGAGATTTTATTACACTGTAAACCATTATATTATTTTCTATTTGTTTTTAATATCATTAACTTTAAGTGGTAAGATTTTTAACATATAAATCAATTTAAAATAATATATATTATATAACATATTAATTTGATTGAAAAAGTATGTACAGACGCTCGTTCTGTTTCATACATAGATTTCATATTTTTCTTTTTATAAATCATCTCTACAGGTTATTTAAGTAGTTACATATACAATATACATATTCAATATTTAAATATAATGTACATATTATGTTTATTGCAAAATTATGTAGGTACTTACAGACGTTCGTTCCGTCCAAAACGGTTATGAATGTTTCAATAAGTTTTGACCTTATGCTAATAATAAATACCAAAACTTTCACTTAAAAAACCAATTTGATAGTTTTTTTATTTGAAGATGCGACTCGCTGATTCGGCACGAAAATTTCACAGTAAGTAACATGAGAGCTATAGTGTTGCCAGTAGGAGCTCATACAGGTTGGGATACCAGTAAAATTATTATTTTCCTCCTGAAGGTTAAAACTCATGAGATTCGGTCCGTCAATTCATGACTACATATTACATAGTATAGAAACACAGAGGAGGCGTCAACGAATATAATGACATTGTGTACCAAAATACTTCACCTCAGTCCCTACTAGCGACATCTGCTGAGCGGAAGATGACTACTCCACATTGACTGCAGTACCTATCGCTGCGGTTGATTTAGCACTAGATGTTTCAAAGGTTGTTCTTCATAAGAAAGCGAATCTAGCACTAGAAGTACTAATTTAATTATGTTTCCGTATTTACATCGTGTTAATAATCCATAAAAACGCGGACGGTCATAACTGTCCGATATTAATATTCTTTATTTTAAAACACGTCCTCTATTTCAGACCCAAAAATTGATCTTGTCCCCTAATTTGAAATCTTTAATAGAGGACAAGGCAATATCGCGCGTGCTGCCGAATAATTTAAACATTGCTTTGAGATGAGGTGCGTGTTCGAAGAGACAAACAAAGTAATTTTTTTATAGAAGAGGGGGCAAAATGATCAACCGCAACACCAGGGGAATTGCAGGTGCGTTGCCGGCCCTTTAGAAAGGAGTACGCTCTTTTCTTGAAGGTCCCCAGGTCGTATCGGTCCGGAAAAATCGCTGGTGGTAAACTATTCCACAGAGAGGTTGTACGCGGAAGAAAACTCCTCTTGAAACGTACAGTGGTGGACCGCCAAGCATCCACATGATGTGGATGGTATCGGGACGTTTCGCGGCAAACGGTAGTGCGTTCACGAAATTTGGCGGCTGGGATTAATCCGAACAATTCCTCAGAGCACTCTCCATGGTATATGCGAAAGAAAATGCAAAGAGATGCAACATCTCTTCGCAGTGCCAGTGAATCGAGCCGATCGGAAAGCACTCGGTCGTCGACGATTCGAGCCGCTCTGCGCTGGATGCGGTCAAGTGGAAGGAGCTGGTACTGGGGAGCCCCAGCCCAGAGATGGGAACAGTATTCCATGTGCGGCCGAACCTGCGCCTTATAAAGATGCAGGCGGTGTGCCGGCATGAAATACTGTCCCGCTCTGCTGAGCACGCCAAGCTTTTTAGAGGCCAATTTGGCCTTCTCTTCCAAGTGACCACAAAACTGCACGTCACTCGATATGTCGACGCCGAGGATTCCGATACTGGCTGAGGCAACAAGGGGGAGTGCCTTGAAACTGAGGAGATACGACAAAGGGGTTCTTTTTAGCGGTTAACGCGCAAACTTGTGTCTTCTGGGGGTTAAACTGGACTAGATTTAGTCGCCCCCAATCCGAGACTCTATTCGGCAAAGACTCGACTTCAGACACAAGTTTGTCCCGGCACTCGGAGACGTTTTCCCGAGAAATATTGGCTCGGCCGGTGTAAAGAGCATCACCAGTGCTGTCATCTGCATAGCAATGAATGTTACGGGTTTGCAACATATCATTGATATGCAGAAGAAACAGCGTTGGCGATAGCACGCAGCCTTGTGGAACACCATACATTGCATATTAACATTGTTTTTATATTAATAAGTGTTGCTAATGATATCATAATCATATTTTATTGAAAACAATATGATATTCTACATTTTCATCATATGTATTTTTTAATCCTTATCAAATCCTCTAAAACATAAAACGGCATCTAACAATCCTAGTCTTGGCATACATTATTTCGTGTATAACGCCGCAATGGCATGGTTCAGGCTCCGCATGATGGTTCCAGCGTGCATTCTCGCTTTTACACTACTCCTTTTTTATGTGTTCTATTAAGATTGAAGAAGATAAAGAAATGATAAAAGCAAGGAATACTTATTAGACATAATTTTTGCTTTTACTGCTCACGACTTAATTTTTTGCTTTTATTGCTAAAAACTTACGTAATTATCAACTTCGGAGAGTTGGGTTGAATATTCAGAGCTGATATTTGTAGCAAAAATTGTTAACACTACATCACCCATCTTGAGCATAAAAGCAAAAAATTATGTCTAATAAATATTTTTTAGTTTTCTCATTTCTTTAATATATACTATATTATATTACTGTTTTAATCCGATGCTCGATATATTTCTTTTCATGAATGTGATAGATGGTTAGTTCTATCTGGTGATTTTGGATGTTCATGTTCACCAGGTAGAACTAACCATCCATCGCATTCATGAAAAGAAATATATCAAGCATCGGATTTAAACCAGCCTGGACTGAAAAAGTCTGATTCATTATCTAAAATTTTATGTTAGCGTTTAGTTTTTAAAATCCATTATACACACCGATCGGAAATGTATCCTAGGATGGGCAGTGAGACCAGCATCCCAATGTTGTGGATCGTTCCCACCAGAGTTCTCTTCCACTCCTGGCACGCCAGATTGAACTGAAAATAGATAACAACCGATATAATAACACAACATAACATAACCTGCTTCGCTTGTTCCCAATCGGGTACATTACAAACTTCCATTTGCCACAATCATGAAACACCTTTTCCGCTTCATTTTCATCTATATAATATCTGCTGATAGATTCTCGTTAGTAAAATGTACTCCTTAATTCGCCTTTTTGTTATATAAACTGAAGTAACAAATGACTTTGAACGTGGTAGAGCCATGCTGTAGCTATATTGTATAGGCGTATAGGCGTAGGACCACACTAACAAACTTCCAGTGTAAAATAGGAGCTTAATGCTGCTGTGTTTTGTATGGTGAGTGTAGAGAACCGAACCTTTTTTACTGCATACGAGGCATTCCATCTTAGTCCTCAGTGGTAACGACGCATCTGAATATTGATTCTTAATTGAAGATAAATGTAGGTCTCTATGGGCCACAGCATCCACTTATCATCAGGTAGACTGCGTGCTCAATTGTCTTGCTTATTCTATAAAAAAAGAATTTGCAGTGTACCTGAATAAATGGCTTCTGCAACCAATCTGATTATACAGTTATTCAACATAAAATGTGCAAGTAAGTCGATCAAGTTCCTCCTAGGAGTATAGCACAGTAATGGAGAAACAATGACACGCGGGTAAGACATTGAGCTGCGCAGGCTTTTTAAATGTTTTTATAAACGACGACTTTTTTGATTTTTATAAACGTATGTTTAGTCTGTGTTTTGCATGGTGGTTGTAGAGAAACGGAGACACTTATTAATAGCAACGGGGCATTATCTTAGTCCTTAGAGAAGCCAACACATCTGCATTTTATCAAATTAATCGAGGAAAGATGTAGATGTCTATGAGCTAGAGCATTCACTTACCATCAAGTGGACTACGTGCCGTTTTATCAACCTTATTAATACAATTTAATGCAATTCAATATTTTTTAAAGCTTTTCTCCACTTTGAATTAGGTGTGTGTTCGTTTGTCGCCCTTACTCTATATAAAAAAACTCGAGGCCATATGTACCAACACAATCATTTGGTAAATGAGATGAATAAGCGTTGCAATCATTTTAAACGTCGCCAAGGTAATTTTGTTACCTCCAAATAAAAACGTAGGGGTTGCGTATTGCGAATATGAAATACGTAGGTATATTATAATTGAATTTATAGGAGAAATTCATGGCAAAAGTTTATGTTAAACACATTTTTTATGCTCTGGATTGTCCTATTTTTTGTCACTATCTTTGCGTTCGTAAGGCAAGGTTCGTAAGGCGTTTGCGGCTGTTTATTGTGAAATCCCGGGTTTGAACCCTGGGTGGGACAAAACTCAATTATAAGGTTTTTCTGTCAAGCCAAGACGGTTACCCGAGTGTTGCATTACCCAGCGACGGTGTTTTGGTGCGGTTTGTATTAGGGTTCGTAGTCTCGTGTACAATCGGGTGACAACGCATCTGCATTTTGATTCGTAAACAAGGATAGGTGTAGATGTCTATGGGCCACAGCAACCACTTTTCATCAGGTGGACTGTGCGCTCATTTTCAACCTTATCCTATTAAAAAACCTACCAACATCATATTACGGCTAAACGCCGAAGTGCGGATACACCTAGGTTTAGTCGACTACAATAATGTTGTTATGACGATAAAAACGGGTCGGAAATGGCTCTAACCTTTTCGATGTTTTGTATTTAAATGATATTTTATTATATAATACATTCTATTATGCCTGACCAAATTATAATTTTTTAACGCCGATAAACTCAGTCACCTGTATACGGTTTATGTTATTACATTTTAAATATCTATTACATATTATTTATTATTACTGGAACCAGATCAAGGTTTTCGTTCAGGCGTGGAGTGGACAGTTGCTTAAGAGGGCTCTATAGACGCACGATTTCATACTGTCAGAATCCACTTGACTTAAAGGCTTACACAATACTTGATAGCAGTAAAATAGTTTGTTTGAATTGCTAAGAGGAGAGGTTCTTCAAAAATTTATTATCTTATTTTCAATGTACCATCTAGTATCGAATTGAAGAACTAAGCTTTCTAGAAGCCTCACTCTCGAACTTTCTGCGTCTGGTCGGTCGGCGCCCGTATCTACGGGAATATTCTGGAGGTTTAGGTGAAAATGCGTATTTAAAGGCGCTGCAATACGCGATCGGGACAGTATTGAATTTGGCGAGACAAGCGAAGCTTCGGAGCGAAATAAAGTGAATCAGTGTGATTAATTATTAGTGTTTTAAGTTTTAGGTGTAAAGAAAATTAAAGTATAAATTTTGGTAATTCAATCGGCAGTTTTTATTGTCACGAACCTCAAGCTCGTAACAATTGGTGTCAGGTGTGGGGTAAAATCATGCCGATTTTACCTAAGGAGGAAACGGAGGGTGTCCGTACCCGAAGTCAACGCCAGCAGGAGACGGACCAAAGAAGATTTGGTTTGCAACGCCGCAGACGTCGAAGGGCCAGCCGCCGGCTGCAGGCCCGTCAGTAGCTCCTACATCTGCAGCACCTGACTTAGGTGCTCTGATGGTGATGCTGCAAGAGCAGGCTCGCCGACAGGAGAAACAAGTCCTTCAGTTGAAAGAACAGCTGCAGAGCGGACAAGAGGAACAGGTCTGCCATTTGGAAGAGCAGCTGCGGGGCGGACAACAGGAACAGGCCCGTCGGTTGGAAGAGCAGATGCTCCTCATGAAGGACCTTCACGCTACCTTCGGTAAGGAGATCAAGGAGGTGAAGGATAGGGTTGCTCAGCATGACAACCGCCTGTCGGAAGCTGAAACCCAAATCGCGAAAGCTGAAACCCGAATCGAGAAAGCTGAAACCAGAATCGACCAAGTGAACAATCGGGTTGACAACGTGATGGCTGACGTGAAGAAAACGCTGGACGACCTCAAACTGGGGGATGGAATTACAGCTCCCGTAGTAACTACAATACCTTCGCTACGTGGGTTCAAAGTGCCGCCGTTCGACGGGACTTCTTCCTGGTCAACCTACAAAATCCAGTTCGAGGCTGTCATGGCGAGGCGAATGGCTGGAATAAAAACTAGGCCATGACTGCACTCACCCTAGGCCTGCGCGACCAAGCTTTAACTACGTTGGAAGCTCTCGGTAAGAAAGTGACCTACGAGCAGCTCCTTGAGGCATTGAAGGCGAGATATGGCGCCGCTCACCTGGAACACGTCTTTCGCGCGCAGCTTAAAGATCGCGTGCAACGCAACAACGAAAACCTGCAACAGTAGGCCCTTGAGGTGGAGAAGATGGTTCGAAAAGCATACCAGTCTGTACCTGCGCTCATTGAAGGGAACCTGGTGCAGACATTCATCGACGGCATCCGCGACCTTGAAGTCAAAGTCCTGTTGTGAGGCTCGGGCACCAAGAGACGCTTAAGGACGCCTTGGCCCATGCACTGGAGGTGGAAGCCGTACGGCAGGATCTTCACTCCCACTGCGTCAGGGCTGTTACGGCAGCTACAGTTCGCGACCGCAATAATGGATACAGCCCTAGGTGCTATGGCTGTGGGGAAAGGGGCCATCCTCGATCCAGCTACACTAAACGAACCGTGGAAAGAGAAGTTGATCGATCTCGAGAGGATAGTGCAGCTAACGGCACCGCCCAACAGCAGCAGGAATACGACTTTACTATCAGACATCGCAGCGGGAAATCTCATGGCAACGCAGATGCATTGTCAAGAAGACCTTGTCCTGAAGGATGCAAACATTGTACTAGGCAAGAGAGTAAGGAAGTGGTATCCGTGAGGATAGGCTCAGGACAGACCACCTCAGCAACGAGTGGAAGGACAGCCTACGACATGCACAGCAGGAACGTCTGGACATCAAGCCGATTCTGGAATGCATGAAGGCCCGTGCTACCAAGCCTAAGTGGAGCTACGTCTCAGAGATGAGTTCGACCACTAGAAGCTCTTGGGCCCAATGGGACAGTTTGCTGATTCAGGATGGAGTCCTGTGCCGTAAATGGGACAATAGTCGAGGAGACAGCTGTCGTTTGCAAAGGGTTGTCCCTAAAGCTAAAGTGCCGAATGTTCTACAGCTGCACCATAATGGTTGTTCAGGTGTCCATCTGAGAATTAAACGAACTCTACTGAAGATCTAGAACAGTTTTACTGGGTCCATTATCGTGACAATGTCGAGGATTGGTGTCACACATGTACAAGTTGTGTGGCTGTGAGGGGACCTCAGACACGTAGTAGAGGAGCATCGAAATTGTACAACGTTGGTGCACCACGGTATAGGACAGCCCTTGACATTGCGGAGCCGTTACAGAAAGGCGCAAGAGGGACTCCTAAGATCGTCCATGTGGATCGCCTGGCGCGTTATTATGGGGACGGTAATGCTCGGGACGAGCATGTCTTAGGAGGGGGCAGTGTTGCGCGCCTAAGTTGACGTCATGTACCCGGCACTAGCGCCATCTAGTGTCGAGGACGAGAGCGAGCAGAGTTTTCCAGAAAATGAAATGATTAATCTTTTAACCAACAGCGCCATCTAGTATCGAATTGAAGAATTAAGCTTTCTAGAAGCCTCACACTCGAACTTTCTGCGTCTGGTCGGTAGGCACTCGTATCTATAGGAATATTCTGGATGTTTCGGTAAAAATGCGTTTTAAAGGCGCTGCAATACGCGATCGGGACAGTATTGAATTTGGCGAGACAAGCGAAGCTTCGGAGCGAAATAAAGTGAATCAGTGTGATTAATTATTAGTGTTTTAAGATTTAATAGGTGTAAAGAAAATTAAAGTGTAAATTTTGGTAATTCAATCGGTAGTTTTTATTGTCACGAACCTCAAGCTCGTAACTATATGAAAATGCTCTGCCGTCAAAGAGTCTATAGTTCACCAATCTTTATCAGACCGTAAGAGTTCAATTCTGAACACTTCACGCATTGTAGGATGGTCTTGTTTTGCCACAAAATCAAGAAAACGATTATCTACAAAATTTTAAATATCTGTAACTTTTAAACGTGATTTACTTGGCGTCATT